CAAAAAAAAAAAAAAGAGAAAAAAAAAAGACGAGCCAACCCCTCGCGCAATGCGCATCGTCATCGTCATTATCCGATCAAAGAGTAGCGATTGCATAAAGTCGTTGCGACACGTGTCGGACATACATTCCACCGATCACTGACTTCATTTATGCATATATAAAAGGATATTCTTTTACATATTCTTTTATAAGGGATAAGTGGAATGTATAACATATTAAAAGGGATAAGTGAGGTAGCATAAACTTCGACTCGCCGGTATGCTTGCGCGATCGATCCTCGAGAACCTTGGATTTACCTTGCAAGCAGTCCGTGAGCGAACCCTGGATTCACCGCGCAAGCATTTTACGTTAACTCACGTGGGGGGGCGGCCCCACGTGAGTTTGCCCCCACGTGAGTTTGCTGGTTGGGAAACAATGATGACACATTCTGGTGCACAAGATACACGCGCGAATTTGTTTATGTTGTCGACTTTTTTTTCTTTTCTTTTTTTGTTTCTTCCCTTTTTACACGCCCATTCTTGCTTACTGATCAAGTAGCGGAACTTGCTTAGTCAACAAGAACGAGTACAGTCTGTGATGACATTCTTTTACACGCCCCTTCGCAGACTGTACTGGAGATTAAAAGGGAACTGACGGAATAAAAAACTGAGAGAGAAAGAGAGAGAGAGAGAAAGAGAGAGAGAGAGAAAGAGGGAGAGAGAGAGAGAGAGAGAGTGAATGGAGGGAAACGGAAGTAGGTGAAAGGGGGAAGGGGGGCACGACGACGAGCTTGAGGAAGGAAGAGATCCCAGCCGGACGATAAGGGATATAACCGTTTTTCTTTCCCTCTTATGATAAAGGAGATGCACAGAAGTGCAAGGGAAAGAAGAAGATTGATTCCACAGACAAAGAGGCAGAGAGGCAGAGAAGCAGAGGTAGAGAGGAAGAGAAATAGAGGCAGAAGGTATGAGAGTACAAGGGAAGGAACAACATTGATTCCACAGACAAAGAGGGAGAGAAACAGAGAGGCAGAGAGATAGAAAGGCAGAGAGGCAGTCAGGCATAGAGGCAGAGAGGTAGAGAGGCAGAGAAGCAGAGAGGTAGAGAGGTAGAGAGGCAGAGGGGCAGAGAGGGAGAGAAGCAGAGAGGTAGAGAGGTAGAGAGGTAGAGAAGCAGAGAGGGAGAGAGGTAAGAGAGTACAAGGGAAGGAAGAAGATTGATTCCACAGACAAAAGGGCAGCGACGCAAAGAGAGGCAGACAGGCATAGAGGTAGAGAGGTAGCGAGGCAGAGGAGAATGAGAGAAAACATGCAGAAGGGAGAGAGAGGAGCAGGTATGAAAGCATGCAAAATCCTCGACAGATCGATATCAACACGTACGTGCCTGTGAAAGAGAGAGAGAGAGAGAGAGAGAGAGAAGGGAAGAGCATAAGGATAGAACAGAGATCCGAAAAACGAAATTGGGCGATGGCAGACATGAAAAAAGCGGACCCAAGAGAAAACGAAACGAGGGAAGAATAAAATAAAGAAGAAGAAAAAAAAAAAAGAGGAAAAGACAAGGAATGAAGAGGGAATGGGAAGAGTGCAGAGGAGAGACGAGCCAAAGAGGGAGAAAAAAAAGACGAGAGCAGCGAGGGAAGAAGACAGAGGAAGAGCAAAGGAGAGGAGAACGAGGACAGAGAGCAGAGAGAAGAGGAGAGAGAGGACCGAGAGGAGAGAGAGGAGAGAGAGGGGAGAGAGGGGAGAGAGGGGAGAGAGGAGGGAGAGGAGAGGAGACAGCAAACGAAGCGAGTCGGATAAGAGGCAGAAGGCATACAAAAAAGGGAGAAAGAGCAGAGAGAGAAAGAAGCGAAAAAGGACGGCGATGGCGACAGATCGAATGAGATCGAAAAGAAAGAAGACGTGGAGGGAGGAGGATGAAGCGCGAGAAATGGGGGATGGACACAAGGGTGAGGAGGAACGGAAAGGGGTGGTAACGAGGGAGGAGACGGAAAAAAAAATAATAATAATAATAATTTTTTTTTAAAAAAACACTACTCTACATGAAAAAAAAAAAAAACAAAGGACAGAAGTCGGTGGAAGGAGGGAGAGACCTAAGGGGACAACACAAAAGAGCGAGAGCAAACAACAGAGCCAGGGCATATATAGAGCAGATAGAGCAGCGACAAAGGATAGGGAGTGGGGAGAAAAAGGGGAAAGAAGCAAAAGAAGAAAGACAAAAGAAAAGACAAAGTGAAACAAGGCAGAAACAAGAGAGAGAGAGAGAGAGAGAGGGTCAGATAGAGATAGAGAGAGAGAGAGAGAAAGGGGAAAGAAGCGGAAGAAAAAAGACAGCGAAACACAGGACAAGGAGAGAAACAAGGTACAAACAAAGAGAGAGAGAGAGGGTCAGCGAGAGAGAGAGAGAGAGGGTCAGATAGAGAGAAAGAGAAAAAGGGGAAAGAAACGGAAGAAAAAA